CAGCTATGTTTAAAAAATAAAATAAATATTTGGTGGTAGAAAAAAAATGGTTTAGTAATTTTTTGTAATTATTTAAGTGTTTTGGTGGCTTCTCAAAATTTTAAGTAGGATTTTTATTAGGAATTTAATGGAAGTAGCTATCAGTGGGATTAAAATTAGTGATTTTAAAAGGTTTGGGACTATTTTTTTGTCTAAATAAAAGGTTATGACAATATTTAATATTTATAGTAAAGGTTATGGATTAAATTTAGAATTTATTCTAAATAATATGTAAGATTATAATATCTAAATAATTTTCCTTGTAAATATGCATTCTACTTGCATTCCCCCCCACTCCCCCTTCATTTATTATTGTAAAAAACAATCGGATTTTTTTCTTAAATTAGCTATTCTTTCCTAAGTGTGCTGTTCTCAGCTTGTCGGATGGTCAAAATAAAATATTAATACAGGTGTAAAATATCTAAAATACCATTAATAAATCAATCTAAGATGGTAATTTATTAAGAACAATTTAGCCAATTCATGTTAAGACTGGCATATCTATATGCGAAAGAATATTCTTTCATTTGCTTGAAAGTATTTAGTCCTCTAACAATTGGCAATGAGAATTTATTTTCTTTCTTTTATTTGCATAGTTTTTTTTGAAAAAAATTTATTTTGTTTAGACATGAATAAACACTTACAAAATTTATGAGCCCTCTTCTTTTCTTTCTAGAAGAAATATCATAATTACTAAATTAGGTTCCTACCAACCAAACGAATCTAGACAATTAGAACCTTCCATGAAATCGAATCCATTTTTAGATTTTCTTTTGTATATTTGTCAAAAACTACCCTGTATTTGCCAAAAAAAAAAAAAAAAAAAAGAAAAAGAAAAAGAAAAAAAGAGCTAAGAATAAATCAATGAGTGATGTTAATCATGTTAATGCCACACCTAGATTATTAATGTCACATATTTTTATCTTAATTAATTATTATATTTTTTAATTTATTAAGAAACAAAAAAATATAATGCAAGGGTATAATAGATATATAGGTTTGACAACTAAATTTACTTAAAAATAAATCAATTAAAAAATGTTAAACATATAAAATTTGAACTTCAAATTCATAATAAAAAAATAAAAATTATAAATTTACAATCATAATATAATATTAAATTAATATAA